ACAAGGCACAAATGATCTTAAAAGCTCACTTGAGCCATTATTTTAAAACATGTGTTACTATAAATAGAAATGGAAACCCACCTTATTATGCATTTCGGTTACTGCTCTCTTGTACGTGCTGGTTACATTATGTCAGTTACAGCTAATGAAAGTTTGACTGCAATTTCCTATCCCTAATTTGAGAAAATAGAATGATTCTATATTTTCTTGATTAATTGCTGAATGTCTATTTATAACTATACGTTAGTATAGGTAGAAATGAAAAAAAAATACCTTTACACACTATTCTTATACATTTTGGCTAAAGCTTTTTCATGCTCGTTAGTCACCTTCTGTCAATAACAATTATCAGCCGTTTGTCTGCACAGTATCAATTCCTGATGTTAAGAAAAATGCAAAAGTCTATATTTTCTCAAGAATTTGCAGTATGTCTATTTTCAAACATGTGTTACTATAAATAGAAATGGAAACTTATGCTTCTCATTCTGTGTTTCGTATATGCTTTCTTTTACTTGTTGGTCACCATATTCCAATAGCAGTTAAAAACATATAGTCTGCACTTGTTCATCCGAAATGTGAGAAAAAAGTACAAAAAAATGACATTTTTCCGATATTTTGCAGTTTGTCTATTTTTAAACTTGTGTTACTATAAATAGAAATGGAAACCACTGCTTTTCATTCTGTATTTGATATAAGACTTTCTTTTACTTGTTGGTCACCATATTCCAATAGCAGTTAAAAACATATAGTCTGCAATTGTTCATCCGAAATGTGAGAAAAAAGTACAAAAAAATGACATTTTTCCGATATTTTGCAGTTTGTCTATTTTTAAACTTGTGTTACTATAAATAGAAATGGAAACTACTGCTTTTCATTCTGTATTTGATATAAGACTTTCTTTTACTTGTTGGTCACCATATGCCAATAGCAGTTAAAAACAGATAGTCAGCAATTATGCATCCAAAATTTTAGAAAAAAGTACAAAAATGACATTTTTCCAATAGTTTACAGTATGTCTTTTTTTAAACACATGTTACTATAAATAGAAATGGAAACCTCTGCTTCTCATTCTGTATTTCGTATATGCTTTCTTTTACTTGTTGGTCACCATATTCCAATAGCAGTTAAAAACATATAGTCTGCAATTGTTCATCCGAAATGTGAGAAAAAAGTACAAAAAACGACATTTTTCCGATATTTTGCAGTTTGTCTATTTTTAAACTTGTGTTACTATAAATAGAAATGGAAACCACTGCTTCTGATTTTTGTATTTGATATAAGACTTTCTTTTACTTGTTGGTCACCATATGCCAATAGCAGTTAAAAACAGATAGTCAGCAATTATTCATCCAAAATTTTAGAAAAAAGTACAAAAAACATTTTCCCGATATTTCGCATTACGTCTATTTTTAAACATGTGTTACTATAAATAGAAATGGAAACCTCTGCTTATCATGCTGCATTCCATTGAATGTTCTTTTGTTCTTGTCAGTCACATAATATCAGTTACATTTAATGACAGTAAGTTGGTAAATTTCCCGTCTCTAATTTGAGAATTGGTGGAAAATCAACATTAAACAGTTAATTTCGTATGTGTCTATTTTTAAACATTTGTACTATTAATAGAGATGAGAGCCTGTCCGCAATAATTTGTGAGATATTATACTATTCCTTGTTCTTATTGATGAAATATTGTAGAGATTCATATTTTTATTATTTATGATTCAGTGGAGCTTCAAAATAATGGAAAATTGACATTTTTCATCATTTTATGAGACATGTCTATATTTAGGCATTTGAAGCTATAAATAGAAAATGGAAATCCCTGAAAATAAGATGCATGGTAGTTATTGGTGTCCATTCTCTGACATTAGCATGTTGACTTTTACAGTATATTTCATAATTACCTAGCAATGGCATCTTAAACTCTGCCCAAATTTCATTTTTTGGATTTTTTTTAAATATGTCTATTTTTAGATACATGTTACTAAAAATAGCATTGAGATCCCACTCCAATTTTTACATGAGGGGACACTACAAATACTGACGTTTGATGACATGCATATGATTTGAAAAATTTCCGTAGACAATTTTTTTTATTTAACCTTAAATTTCTCAAAAAATGCCAAAATTTCCATTTTTCACATTTTGAGAAACTATGCTATTTTGCAGAACCGTTTTCTAAGAGTGGGGTCAATTCTGGAATAACTGGTTATATGCCCTGTATTCTTTAACAGTTGATGTTTTCTTATGATACAAAGATTTATATTTGAGTTCACTACATAAAGATAAAAATGCATTCATATTTCCTCAATTTTTATGTTTTTGTTTGGTCAAAAATGGCCAAAAATGGCCAAATACAATGGATCCGTCTCCATGGCAACCGGGTGCACGTGGGAAACTTCTAACACCATATTTGCTGGTTTTCTACCGAGGTGCACCTGTGGTGCAAATTTCATCAAAATCGGAAATATGTCGTTTCCAAGCCCTATAGTAATTTTTTGGTGCTTACAGAGAATGCATGTTAAGCAGTAGTTAATTAACAAAGATTGCATTGAAGTCTATGGGGAAAAGCGTTTTTTCAAAATAAAAATTCAAATAATTTGAATATCAATAAATCCTGTGGTGGAAAGATGCATTGAAATATTAAAAATAGAATGATAATTGAAAACAATTTTTTTACCGGCTAAATTTTTTTTAATTGATTTTTTTTATTAATTAAAAAAGGGGAGTTAACTCTTACCAAAATTCAAGGTCATGAATTAGGACACATCCCACACATACTTATAGTAATTAATGGGAACTATGACTAAATAAACTGAGTATTGAATGCCTACATATCTTTTATGTTTTCAATTTCATTGAATTTCTTCCTATTAGGGATTGAAGACCTTAACTCTTATATTTGATACTTTGTTTACATTTTATGGGTCCCAAACAGTCCTGTATATAATTTTGTATTGTCGGTTTAAAAGAGTTCCATTTTGACATCCGTAAACCATAAACAGCCGTTTGTAAGAATTCGGAGGTACGTAAATGATCAGGAACTGCAGTTGAAAGTATGATTAATTTTTAAATTACATTTAAAATTATTTTCAAAGCTGGGGAAGGTATGTAAACTACACAAAATAAATACCTAAAGTAGCTACAAAAATTGTCGGCATAAATCGAAGGTTTTTACAATGCTTGGATATGCAGCTCTCTGCTTTATCTGTCCGAATTTTCTCAAGCAGAGAGCTACAGTTCTGAAGCTAATTGTGCGGCAAATAAATTTCAGTATCCAGGAATTTTCCACTACCCCATGTAGGGCCTAATTTAGGGCTCGTTCCCAATTGTAACAAGAGGCCCAGGGGCCACATTGCTCATCTGAGCACATCATCTAGGAAAGACGCACAAATGATTAGATCAGATTTGAAAAGTTTTCTAAAAGGGGGGGGGGGGGGGGGGGGGGGCTTGAATTCTAATACTACTTGGGAATGCCCCCACATCAATTCTCCATATAACTGCTTGAAAAAGTTCTTGATAAAAAGATTTTTATAGATTTTTCAAACATTTTGTTTGTATATTACTTTGTAATAATTTGAATTTGACTCCCCATCATTTCCCTCCCTACCCCAAAGGGTACTCATGATTTGAACAAATTTATATCTTCAATACATGAGGATGCTTAGATGTCAATATGACTTAACATAGCTTTTCTGTTCTTGAGATTTTTCCCTTTATTTCCTATGTAAAACTTTGATCCACCATTGAGACCCTTCCTTACCCTTGGAGGTTATTATTTGAATAAATTTAACACTACCTAAGGATCCTTCCATATAAATATCACTCATCATGCTTAGCTATTCTTTAGAAAAAAGATCTTTTTAAATATATTTTAATGTAAAACTTGGATCCCCCATTGTGGCCCCTCCCTATCCCTGGGGGTTATGATTTGAACAAACTAGAATCTACAGTATCTGAGGATGCTTCCATAAAGATATCACTTATCATGGTTTTGCAGTACTTGAGAAGAAAATTAATTTTAAAGATTTCCCTATATATTCCTAAGTTAAACCTTGATCTGCCATTGTGGCCCCAATCTACCCCAGGGGTCATGATTTCAACATACTTGAATGTACACTATCTGAGGATGATTCAACATGAGTTTCATCTTTCTGTCCCAATGGTTCTTGAGAAGAAGATTTTAAAAGATTTTTCCTATATATTCCTATGTAAAAACTCTGAACGGCCATTGTGGCCCAATCATACCCCCGGGGGTCATGATTTGAACAAATTTGAATGTACACTATCCTAAGATGATTCAACATGAGTTTCATCTTTCCTGGCCCAGTGTTTCTTGAGAAGAATATTTTCAAAACATGCCATTAATTTTTCACCAATTCAAAATTATCTCCCCTTGGAAGAGGGCATGGCCCTTCATTTGAACAAACTTGAATGCCCTTCACCGAAGGATACTTTGTAGCAAGTTCAGTTGAAACTGGTCCAGTGGTTCTTGAGAAGAAGATGAAAATATGATTGATTAATTGATTGATTGATTGTATACTGTTTAACGTCCCTCTCCAGGATATTTCACTGATATGGAGACATCACCATTGCCATCGAAGGGCTGCAAATTTAGGCCTATGCTCGGCACTTACGGCCTTTGAGCAGGAAGGGATCTTTGTCACCTGCTGTGACACGGGGCCTCGGTTTATACAGTCTCATCCGAAGGACTGCCCCATTTAGTTGCCTTTTACAACTGAGGACCTATTCTAACCCGGATCCCCACGGGGCAAGATGAAAATATGAAAAGTTTATGAAGACAACAACGACACCAAAGACGACGGAAAAATTTTGATCAGAAAAGCTCACTTGAGCCTTCGGCTTAGGTGAATTAAAATGCCCTCCTTTTTGCCCAGTGAAATATTTGTGTGTAACAGTCAGAGTTGAGAAACAATAGAAATATTAAAATATGAAGACAGATCTAGTGTTGTGTTGATTTATATCATTGTACTTACAACAGCTGGCCACACAGGACATCCCTTCCACTTTACCCAGACAATGTCTTTCTCCTTAATTGTCACTGAAATACAATGATCAGAATTAAATTGCTTGTGATGATAATTGTAATTTCATTTGTAATATGAAATTAAAAGCATTATAACTGAGAAGTCAAAATACTTTCAATGGAATGGAATGTGTTCTTAACATGTAACTTGCATCACAAGTATTAGATGCTTCTAGTTTTTAGTAGTACAGAATGCAAACTTAAAACATCGCTATGATGTCATGCCTTTATTCTTGCTGTCTAAAAACTTACCTGTAGCTGTCCAATGATAACTAGAACTGTCCAATAGGGACAAATACCCCCGCTGGGTTTTTCAGAGTAGGTGCCAATTCAGAAATATTTTATGGATCTAGTAAGAGGTGTTCACTATTGTCTAATAAAGTGCCCTGCCACAGCATGATACGCCCGTCAAATATTGTTCAATAATCATTAATTGGTTAGGGTGCAAGAAAATCAAGTAACCTTGATTAACAGATTGACACAGATTTCAATGATCTAATTTCCATTTCTTATCATCATGTTTAAAATATTGTACATACATCTCTAAGAGACTTACAGTGTAGGGATTAATTAAAACAAATAATACATCATATAATTCTAAACTGGCTGTGTTAGAGCTTAACAAATATCCATCTGCAGCTTTAAATTGTTTATTGCATATTTTAGGAAATACATGTAATGGAAATGCTACAGTCTAATAAAAAAAAATCAAAAATTGATTATTCTTTAGACTATAAAATTCTAAGTGAGACATGACTGCAATTTGTTGCAAATATATGCATACATGCCAACTTTCCCGATTTAGGCAGGATTCTCCCGATTTTAACCTTTCATCCCGCCTTCCCGATCGGGAGAGGAAAATTGTCCCAATTTCCCGATTTGAGAAAATTCAGATTTTCAGTTTCCCTACCGCCGAATTTTGTCAATTGGGATAAGAATATCAGAGTTGTTTATTCAATGCACACAGATAAGTCTCATTGTTTATTTAGCATGCAGAGTTAATTAGCCACAGGAAATCACTTCTCGCTTCAACGCACACGCTGCTGTCCAGGTACAGGTACAGGTAGCTTATAGCCTGGAGCAGTTAGGGGATTAATCTTTTCAGTTTGAAGGGGTATGCGAAGTGAAACACATGCATTAAGGGCTTAATTAATAGTCATTGTATTAAAAACAAAAATTAAAGTCAATGATAATGATAATGACAATAAAATAGGAATCCAAAAAGATCGTTTTTTGAAAACGAAAGTAGAAAATTTCAAAGCATATATAGCTGCTGATTTTAACTGCTAATAATAAAAATATTGTACAGTTTGTCAATTTAATAAAAATATTGAAAATAATTTAGATTAAATAATATTCTCATGTTAAGTACACTGAATCCCCCCCCCCCCCTTTCTTCCATAGATCATACTCATATTGTACATTGTATTTCTTTGTTACATATATGTCAACATGGTCACGGAAATACCAAAGACCCATATGACATTGCCAAGACTGCAAAAGTTTATCATGTTAATGATGCAGTCTTTTACAATTTTAATTTTTCTTTGGGATGGGTGGGGGTGGGGCTTGTGTTAAAAAATTCATGATTTAATTATAGGCCTATTTCTCTAAATTGTTTCATGTGTGAGATAAAATCAATGATGCACTGTCTATAAACTTACTTATAGGTAATAAAGTGACACTTGATTTTAAGGGTACATACCAGAAACAAAATGTAAATTAATATATATATATTTTTGATGAAATGCTTTGAAACTCATAATATAAGGATATAATAGTAGTATAGACATGATGACATGGTCGAAATAGCAAGATTTCACGCGCATGCACGTGCGCTTCGTTCCGATAGGTTGAAACAAAAGTCTTTATATCTTTTTTGTTTTCTGACAAAATCCTTTGAAATTTTGAACATAGTCATACATTATGAAGATCTACAGCATGATATATAAGAATAATCATGAACGCACGCACATGCACGTTAGCTGCAATCTGATTGGCTAAAAGATTAAATGCCTAAACCTTTCTTAGTTCTCAATAATACAGGGTTAAATTTCGAATATGAATAGATATAATGAATGCCTACATTATTCTACAATCAAAATTAAATGCAAGGACGTCATGCACATGCGCGCACACACAATGCGTTAAACGACAGTATACTTAAGTCTTTTGATGTTCATGCAGAATTAAGAACTTATAAATGTAAAGACATGTAACATACTGAAGCAGATCTTTTTACCCTTGACCTTGATACTTAGGTCAAGGTCACTAGTAACCTGAATAAAATGTTGATATTAGCTATTTACCAAAATGACCTTGACCTATGAACTTGAAATCGACCTTAACCTTTGACCTTAACCCAAGGGTAGAAAGAACCCCCCCCCCCCCCACACAAAGTAGAGAATCGCTGTAAAACTAAAATTACACCTCGGACCCACATAACATTTCAAGGAAACTGCAGAAAAGAGCTCGAGGAAAGAGTATTAAAATATTTGATGTGAGTTTCCAAATTATATAGAAATTATTAATTTAATTAATTACAAATCCTGTCGTGTTTGAAATTAAAGTCCAGATGAACAAAGTTGGTATATAAGCCTTCTATGTTTACATGTATTTATTCGGATGTCGTTAATAGCATTCAATTCTACTGATTTGAAACAATATTTTAATACCAAGCATCCTTTGTTTATTTAACCGTTGAAATTTAATTGATTTTTTTTTTAGAATTACGCAATCCCCAGAAATTCAAAATCAATATACATGTACCTCCTTCGTAAAAAAAAAAATATCAGGTATTTGCATTCATGAAAAATATACATGTATTAATAAGCAGGTCTTAAAGAATATTGGTCACATTAGCTGATACGAATGTCTTTATAAATATCTATTGTAAACCCCAGAAAGTAGCCTCCTATGCATTCAATTTGGAAAAAATAAATAGTTCCGGTCAAAAACCTTTACATGTATATATTTATTTACATAGTATATAAAATTTACCAGGCACAGGTACCAGAGTTGTCAAAATGACCAGAAAGGAAATATATTAAAAAAAATCTGAACAGATTAAAGGAAAATCCCTTTTCTATGTATGGAACTAAAATTGACTAAGTTCATTTTGATTGGTTAGCCATCGGCGTGATATCCTCAGTCGACTTTAACACTGCCTTGTCGTAGGATTAAAACCAACTTTGAGCCCGAGGTTAAAATCAGTAGAGAATTTAAGTGTGAATAGGTATTTCAAAAAATGATATATACTTGAAATGTGGTAACTTTATATCTGTATTTTTTCTATTATTCGCGGGATAGAAAGATGTGTTAATCGCTTAACCAACATGCCATGATCATCTTGCATATGCATGTACATGTACGTGTGCGCCAATGCAAAATGTTAAACGATATATAGTTGATATCATTGTAACTTTAAATGAAATCCTTAAATACTTAGTATATTTATGAAAGGTGTTACAGGAAAAGCTATGGCACGAAAAAGGACATGGGGAGCGTTTGGGGAACATCTGTAACGGTCCCCGTTACAATTAGCCCTAGTTATTATTAGGGCTTTTCGACTTTTGTCGAAAAGACCTATTGTTTTCGTTTTGTTTATTATTATTATTATTATACTGAACACTTCTATCGTTCAGCTTTTGGGGAATACCTTTAATAATAAGTATTTTATTTTATAACCACTGAATAGCAAATTTAAATCCCACGTGCGTGAAACAAGAACAACTTCCGGTAAAGTCACTTCCGGTTTCTACTAAAGAAAAACTGAAATTTCTAAAGAAGCTAAAAACAATTTTAATTTTAGTGTGTCAACTCCCAAATTTAAGATATGAATTCTGGAGACCTAGTCCAATAAAAAAGTGCGCGTACGTAACTTTTGACCACAGATACTTTTCGAGATATAAAACTTCAAACATTGAAGAAGGGGGGATGAAATTTTTGAATGTCACAATTACGTTACAAAATTAATTTGAGCATAGAAATATGTTAATACTAATTAGTACAACATGTGATATAAGTTTCATATCAATCAGAACAGAACTTCCGGTTTTATGGGTCTTGAAAGTTTTATATTAAATTTAAATAAATCATGGCACATTTTCTCTTAAAGTAATCAAGATTTTCTTGTAATATTTGGTATACATATTGACTCTGATACTCTTGTGACATCATTAGATTACAAAATTAAAAGTTTGAAAAATAAGGGATTTCTAAGGGCCAACATTGAAAATAGACCTTTGCCTGTAACTCTCTTATTTCTCAATGAATTTTCAAATAGTTTTCAGATTTGATTTAAGCAAACAATGGACAGTCTAAAAAATATATGCCGTGGTGTCACTTTTTTACCCCTTATAGGAGTTTTAGAGACCTGAAAAATTGCATTTTTAAGTCTTTTAATAAATATTTGTGAAGAGTTATCTCCCTTTGCCCACCTGTTTGGAACCTTATATGCTGTCTATGTTTCAATTTTGGTATGCATATAAAAAGTACTTCCGGTTTTATGAGTGCCTTAAATTTGCCTATGGAGATTTCTATGTTTAGTTTGAAATCACGCTAAATTAATCGTGGAACATTATCTCTTAAAGTATTCAACATTTTCTTGTAATATTATGTATGCAGAATGACTCTGAAACTGTTGTGACTTCAACAAATTATTAAATTGAAATTTTTGAAAATAGGGGATTTTTAGGGGGCCAACCTTGAAAACAGACCTTTGCCTGCAACTTTTTTATTTTTCAATAAATTTTCAAATAGTTTTCAGATTTGACTTAAGCATACAAAGGACAGTCTAAAAAATATGGTCCGTGGGGTCACTTTTTGACCCCTTAAAGGAGTTTTAGAGACCTGAAATTTTGTATTTTAAAGTATTTTCAAAAACAATTGTGCAAGAGTTATCTCCCTTTGGCAATCTATTTGAAGACTAATATGCTCTCTATGTTTCAATTTTGGTATGGATATGTAGAGTACTTCCGGTTTTATAAGTACCTTAAAATTGCCTATGGAGATTT